GATTACGCGACAAAAAAAAAACATCCATCGTCCTCAAAGTGAACGAGTTAAAATAGAATTAATCTACGTTGCGGATCTCGATGTAGATCTTCGTTTGACGATTCGATTCAAGCCAAGGCGTGCGTGCGTGCGTGCGTGCGTGCGTGCGTGCGTGCGTGCGTGCGTGCGCGCGCGCGCGGATACTCTTGCAGCATCCGGGACGATCGCGAAAGTTACGTGTCTTCGGGTTTACGAGTGCTCGCTTCGCCTCAAGGCGACGGTTCGGCTACGGCGTGAGACGAAATAAACTCCTCTGCCACGATACAGCGATCTCTCGCGTGGGGAACCGGCAGCTTTCGTCGCGACGGTAACAGGGAGCACGGTTGCTCCTTTGATTAATGCTTTCTCGGGGATGAAGCGAGGGTGTCGAGGAGATGGCGGTGATAGTGACGGTGCCGCGCTAATGGTGGTGGTAGTAGTGGTGATGCGGAGCTACGACTAATCCTCTCACGACGTGCACGTGTAAGTACGAGGCTCTGACGGCAGAAACCTAAGAACCCGAGGAACGTGGACACGAACGAGAACTCATTTCCGGATATGCACCGGTTTCTCTCTTTCTCTCCTCGCCCGCGCCCTCGTCGTTGTCGTCGCGTGCAGTTGCTCTCGTGAATTACGTACGACCGGACGCCCGCGTTCTCGGCCACTCGGCATCCTGGACACGCGTCGGCGACAGTGGCGGGTTCCCCAATAAGCACACGAGTACGCGAGGTTTTCAAAGATGAGTCGTTCCGCAGCACCATCGCGATTGATACGAGAGACAGAAAGAGGTGAGAAAAGAAAACAAAAATAAAGAATCAATTAGCGAAAGAGACAAATGGGGAAATTATGAGAGGGAAATCAGCTTGTGCTGTCTTGGAAAATTATATTTTCGCGGAACTCGCGAATGTTTATTGTGTGGACAAGTGTAGCAACAATCGCGAATACCTTCCGTTTCCGGGGAGCATCGCTATTGATACGAAAGAGAGATGGAAGTTCCACTCCCAAAGAAGCGGAAAGAGGAAACAGAAATGGAGAATCAATTAGCGAGGGAGACGAGTGGGGAAATTATGGGAGAGAAACCAGCTTGTGGCCTCTTGGAAAGTTGTATAGTTATATTCGCGGGACTGGCGATATTTGTTGGGTGGACAAGTGTATTTTGCGTTTTATGACTACGATAATCGCACGGGAGACGCAATTGCAACGAGAGAGAATCCTGCGTACTCGTTCTAATAGTTACAAACGAAACTGCTAACGACACTAGGCGAGATCGCCTTTCACTCGCCATAACTTGAGCGCGGCTGCGGCGAAATGGAGTTGATGACGGGGTTTGGCCGGAGCTTCAACTTCAAACAAACTTCCCCGGACTCTTGGGGCCGAAGGGATTGCCCGTGTAAACGACGTGTCGTTAGTGCGCGGAGAAAGAAGGAAGGATAATGCCAGAGGTCGGCGAGGGTGACGCGGGGGGCGTAGGTGGAAGGAAGATCCTACGCCTCCGTCGTGATTCCTCGCTACCTCGGCTCTGTAGCGACAATTGGCCGCGACAACTACACGCTCGCCCAAGTCAGAAGCAATTTTAACACAGCCGTCCGTCTCCCCCGAAGTCATCGGACGACGTGGCCGTATAACAGGCCGTTGGGATATAACTGCGTTTCACGATTGCCGAAAGAGAGCGCTCGAGAAGAAAGCACGTCGCGTATTTATCTTCTCGCGGAAATCGAGATTGATGGCGACGCGAGTGATCGTTCGTCGCTTCGATATTTCCCGCCGACATTGCTCGATAAAGCGTTTCATTATTTCGCACATTTCGCCAGCGACTTTCCAGCCACATACATGGAACGAACAGTCATCGTTACTTAACCGTTTTATAATACCCGTTAGATAAGTAATTAATGCAGATCCGCGAGTACAACGGCGCGCGAAAAAGAGGAAGAGAGAGCAAGAGAGAAAATAAAAAGAGTGGTAGGTATCAAAAATGCATAAGCGACCGATGGATTCGCTCGAGGCTGAACGTTTCACTAGTCCGTACGAAGAGGAGAGGAGAGGAGAGGAGAGAAAAGAAAGGAAAAAAAACCAACAAAACAACGAGCAGTAGGCGGACGGAAGGAGGCAGGATAAGACGAAGAGAGAAAGGGAAAGAGATGGAGGGAGAGAGAGGAAGAGACAAAGAGAAGTTAAGCGAGACGCTCAAAGGAGGCAAGGGAGCAGCTGAGAAAAATAATCCAATTTAGTCGTTGCGCGCACGGCGACCCGGCTAACTGTTCGCCTGTTTTCACGGTTTTTAATTACACGCCCACCTCTTCATCCTCTTCTGCCCACCTCTTGCCACCCCTGGAACGGCCGTCCTCCTGTCCGCGCATCCTCTTCACGTCCCTCTTCGTAAGGAGGTTATTGCGTGCCCCGACGTCGCGATTCCGGACGAAGATGTGCGCTTTCGCGGACGCCGTTCGTTGCGAAAACACTCGGGCGTCGAGAGTGAGAAAAATAGATGAATAGAAGGACAACGACGACCGTTTGATCCCGCGAGAACTTTCGCGCGGATTTCAACTCCTGACTGACGGAACGGCATCAACGGGATCTTCTGTATTTTTCCCCCTTCCTCGTTTCTCATTTTGCCCCTTTCTCTCTCGGCCTTCCCTTTTTTGTCTCACGGCGGACGAGGGTAATCCAATTTCGGGGAAACTTCCGCGACGCATGATTGCATTTGGTTCGCGCGTCGAGAGAGGCTCGCTCACTCGCTCGAGGAGTAGCCGAGATAGACGGCACGCGAGACTCCTCCGTCCAGGGGATATCCTCCACCACCGCCTTCCGTCTTTCCTCCTTTCTGTTTTCTCTTTTTCTCCTCATTTTATAGCGGATTCGACGATTAAGCGGAAGTTAGCGTCGCCCCCTCCCTTCTTCTCTCTCTCTCTCTCTCTTTTCATCGGCAAACTCGATTCTAACTCGGCCCTTTTATATTACTCTTGCGTTTACTTTCCGGCGATATAACGCGCGCGCGAGCGAGTGAGCGCCTCTTTATTCTTCTCCTCTTCCTCTTCCTCCTCCTCCTCCTCCTCCCACCGCCGTCGCCCCCACTGGCGGCCGAGAGTGTCGGCCGTTTTATCGGCTTTCGACGTCGCTGCAATTAGCATTTTAATTCTCGGCTAACGCGCCGTCGTGACGCGTTACTCTTCCACCGAGTCCCGGAGTTAAGTGTGCACTGGCCAACGAGCAATATTCAATGCAACAGCACGCACCTGCTCTATCGACGAGCGTCCCTTTTGATATCTCATTCGAGGGGAAAGTCGCCTGGACTTTCTCTCACCCTCGGTGGTGCGAGCGGTGTCCGTTCGTTCGTCCGTCGCCCTATCCGCTCCTCGACTTCGCGTCGTCGTAACTTCATATTGCTCTCCTCCGCGTATATAAAAACTCAATTTCGAATCTATGCGAACAGACGAGAGAATCGAACAAACACACGCTGGACGGATTAGATCTCAAAGTTATAATGTAAAGTCAGCGGACATCCCATTTTAATCGACGCAGCTCCGCTGGCGACGGAGGTGCAATCGATATCGCGGACTTCGACTGCACAGAGGGAGAGAGAGAGAGAGAGAGAGAGAGAGAGAGAGAGAGAGAGAGAGAGAGAAATGGAAATCTCGTCGAAGGCGAGTCGACAGTCTATCGAATCTGACGATTTTTTAATCAGTCGCTTCCGAGAGTTCGTCGGATCGTCATTTCACAAACGCGAGATCAGATAATTATTCAAGAAGGTGACAATCGAAAAGGAACATTGGGGAACCACGAAGACGAATGCTTTGGTAGCATATCGTATGTATCGCGTTTGATAATACGCCAAGAACTGTTGATATATTAAGAAGTCGATTCCCGTTGAATGTACAAAAACTCAATTCATGATCCAATTACCAAAGATGCGGTAATTAAATGCAACTCGAAACGCATATATTTTTCTCATTTTGACTCACTGGCTCTTGTTTGGCTATGCAACCGACTTCTCAGATACAATCCATTATACGTAACTTTATAAGACGTGGTATATAATCTGTGTCATAGTGTTCAATGTGTTAAACGAAAGAAATATGGCTAAAAGTCCGATGAACTTTCGCGGATCGCTTATACAAGTCGAAATGACCCTACTTTCGACCTCCATGTTCCATTTAACGTCTACTTTGATACTTCAAAGCCTACATCATCCTTTTTTTATTCTATTTTGCCAGAAGGTCTTCTTTAGAACCTGCAAGTGGCATTTTGTGCATTTTTTGTCATTTAGAGGCGCTAAGCAGAACTACGCTATTCTCACAATGTGTATCAAACACACGCTGAAAACAAAATACTTGAAAATTTACTTGCGGAATATAAAATCTACTCTTCGAAATAAAGATTATTTCTGTAGAATAGTTTATTTCTGCGATTATATATGTATAAATCTTATATTCCAGTCTGAAATCTAAAGTCTCAAGAATTTTTCTCTCAGTTTGGACTGAGAAAAAACTGATTGAAAATTTATTTGCGGGATCTACGATTTATTTCACAAAAAACAAATTTATACTCCACAAATAATAGAAAACAATTGAATAGAGAAATAAGTTTTCAAGTATTTTCTTCTCAGTGCCCTGAGCAAAAATATTTGAGGATTTATTTACAGGATATAAAATTAATTTCTGTCAGATAAATTTCTTTATGTAATCAAGTCTTATTTTCGTGAAAAAAGCTTTATATATCTCACAAATAAATTTTCAAATATTTTTTCTCAGTGTGTACACATTGATGTCTCAAAGCATACAAGTGTCAGAAAGTTCAGGTCGAAAGCAGGGCTAAAGTTTCGACCCGGGATCTCGCAACGCGAGGCCAATCTCGCGCCGCGAAGGATTCGATTAGGCATCGAATTCCGATCGATTCGTTCGTTGGTCGTCGGCGAACGTCTCGGCGGACGATCGTGCGCTCACATCACTCGCACACACAGAGCAGATTATACAATAGGTACTCACGTGTCCTAGCTTCTCCTCCTTCCGCCTCTTGGGGTCGCTCTCGAGGTCGGGCGTGCGGCTGCGAAATTTCTCAGGCGGCGAGACCGAGCGGCCGAGCCTCTCGTCCGGCAGGGCGATCGGCTTACGGTCCTCGGGTGTCTCCGCGGCCGCGCGGTGCTGCTGCAGGTCCGCCGGTTTCAGCAGCGCCTGCGCCTGTGCCTGAACCGCAGCCGCGGCTGCGGGATGCGGCGGCGGCGCCAAGTGCGGCGGTACACCCGCGGCTGCGGCCGCCGCGGCCGCACCTGCGAAGCCCAGCAGGCCGCCCGGCGGAAGACCGCCGACCACCGCGCCGTGGGGCAGCTGCTGCGCATGGATCTGTTGCTGTGTCGAGGAGGAACACGGTGGAGAATTAAAACCCCTCCGAGTGGACTTGGCGACCGCAACGGAGCGCGCGTGGTTCGAACAAAAAAAAAAAAAAAAAAAAAAAA